TGCACCCAGCTTCGATTACCGGAGGATGTGCTATGGCGATGCGCGAGAAACCCAGTGTTAAACAGCTCGCGCTCATGAAAAAAATCAGAAACGTTTTCAGGCTGGCTGGTAGGAGAACTGTCGCAGTCGGACTGAGGCCTTAGAATATTTAGCTCACATTCTACCTATCTATCATAACGAATTGTTTTTTCGAACGTGCACTTTGTGAACAGGAGCTATCTGCGACAGCTGGTGACATCTGCGAACGCGATCATATCACTGACATGTCTCATCCGCGAAATTTTAGCGTAATTTTCATCGCTGACGCTCGCGACATGTTAAACGAACGCGCGGCCTTACAATATTTGACAGGCCCATTGATCCCGGACTACCCCTCATGACACTCCCCTATACCTCGGACTAGTCCTCGGGGCACTGACCACACGCTTAACCTTCGGGCTACGCCTCAGGGCCCTGCTACACACCTAGGCCCCGGGCTACCTCCCGGTAATCGCTAGACGCTAGATCCCGGACTACATCCCGGGGCACTGTCTGCGTCCTTGGTACCCTGACTACCTCCCAAGGTAACGTCTAGGTCTCTAGGCCCTGGGCTACCCCTTGGGGTATTGGCTGCACCCGTGGACCCTGGGCTGCCCCTCAGGAGTACTGACTACGCCCCGAGACCATGGACTGACCCCTAGGGGCACTGCCTACGCCCCTAGACCCCGGGTTACCCCTCAGGGTAATGGCTCGGCTCCAAGGCCCTGGGGTACCCCTCACGGTAATGGCTAAGCCCCTAGGCTCCGCACCGCCCCTCAGACCACTGGCAATGGGCTGCAGGAGCGGACAGTGTCGCGCAGAAGCAAACCCAGCTAGACTCTCCCACAGCAACTCAGCACGACGTCCTCGCCAGCTGGGACTGCACCCAATGCGCATGTCTGGACAACTGAGAGTTATTTCACTCTAATTAATCACCGATATATTGCTTTCTCTAAACAAGGGATTGGTCAAGCAAGGGATGAAGGTGTCTTGCTGTTCCGCTTCCTGTTATAACTAGTTTTAATGTTGCAATTCTTCCAGATATTTGAGCTGTTTTTGTCCCTCTCTTTCCCATCACTCCTGGCTGAGGAGTGACCAACATTATGAGAAATCGATCTGGTGCGCTTCACCCGATGTAAACGACCGAGTTCGTCGCCAGCAGTCCATTTCGCACAAACAGTGTCTCGTCTGTGCTATGTCGATTCCACGGCGCCTTGATCTGTATTTTCGGACCATTTTGTGGAATGGCGTGCTACCAAAACTTCAAGGCTCACTTCCTGCAGGCTGTGATTACGTCCCTGCGACACCGGGTCCAGCTTTTGTGCGGCCCAGCTTGTTTGCGGCCAGATCTGGATCGAAGCGACCGTTTGGCCTGTCACGTCAGTGATGCACTATAAAGCCGGCTGGCTGCCCGGCGCAGACGAGAGAGCGTGGCCGCCAAGCCTGACCAGTTCCAGGACTGGTGGGCCGACGGCGGCCTCACCGGCCGAAGCTGGCGATCCTACTGGCGACGCCGGCCGTCGCCGCTGAGCGAACCGCACCAGCTGCCGGTAAGCCGTTTCCCTGCGTGAATACAACAGAACGCGTCATTGGTAGGTGCTTCGCTCAGGGCAGGTTGTCTCGGCTAAAAGCTCCTGCCGCTAGTCTGGAAAACACGCGCGTTTGGGAAGAAGCCCTTCTTAACCCCGCACAGACTGGAGAGGCCGTACGCGATCGCTAGGGGGGAGACGAAATAACCACCTCTGGCATCTCAGGATCCCCGTGGCAGGTCAGGATAAATCGAAGATTTATCAGCACCTCTGGTGAACCTTACACAAGAGTCATTGCGTTGGCAGCCGTCACAGGAGTTATGACGCCTGATGTCGCAGAAAATACACTTTGCATCAATGGAAAGAGGGGTATTGGGCGCATAGTTTCGATGTTGACAGTCACCGTCCTTCAGTAAAACGGAAGAAACTGGTTAAACGGTGTTATTGAGCTAGCATTGCTCGCGTGGTCAATACTCGACGTTTCAGGCTGTGGTTATGATCACGAACGAACAAGGTTAAGCGACCAAATTACGTGTTAGGAACCAAGACACGTGAATGAAGAGTAATTACCCGAATCTGTGCCGACGCTATCACTAAAAAATGTCAAAATAAAAAAAAATCTGAGTTCCTTCATCCTAACTCCCGATACACAGTTGAACAGTAGGGGCTGCACAAAAGGCAGGCGGGTGAGCTAGAAGATTACGAACACCCATGCCGAGAATTAGTTAACAAAATTATTTATCGCCAATATCAAGCGCCAAAAATATTTCACGAACCACTTAAATGTTGAGGATATTCACCTTTTCACGTCCCAACACCCAATACACGGTGTGATGCTTAGAGCTGCTCGAAACACAAACAGCTAAGCTGAATGGTTTTGATGATCCGCGCCGAGCATCAGGATGGAAAAAGTTTCCCAAGTGGCATCGGTGTCCATCACAGCGAAACATTGCTTGAGATATTTCTGTGGATATTTTTAGATATCTCTATGTTGATCACAATATAGTTTTTTTCTAATCCTGCGTAATCTATACAATGTTGCTCAAACCATATTCTATAAGGACGGTTGTACGTTCAGCCTCTTACGTAGATCGCGAATGCGCAGCGATTCTTAAACCTTGACGTCCTCGTTAGCTTTCGCTGTCGAAACTTTTTCTTAAGTTGGTATGCATTGCACCATGCTCCATTGCTGTGGGTTTACAATGTGCTCTCCGGTGTCTACCATGTGTCTAACGGTGTGTGCGCTCTCGGTAAGTGTGTCCCCGTGGTATTCATTGAACCCGCTCACGGATGCTACTTTTGTTTCTCCTACACAAACTGTCCCTGGGCGGAGGCTACATAAGATCTTATATGCCTATTCTTTCGTGCGCATTTCCTTTTCAGCCCATTCACAAAGGTATGATAAATCGTAGTGCTAGCTGGGCACAGAGGAGTCTCTAGTGCTGATCACAATGCCATCTGCTTTAAACTAGGACCACTAGGATAAACTAAGATAACTCGTACCATTGTCCAACTTCCTGTATTATGCAGCACAAAACATGATTCGTGTTCGAAAATTGCACCGCACGCAATACATTGTTCAAGAGTCATTTGGAGTCCATTGGTGCCAGGAATCGGACTGACGTACGCCATACACGAATAACTTGATGATCATATTCTCCTGGCTTTGAGCACCACATTATGAGGTCATGCATGTCTGGGTGACCTTGAAATAGTCTGCGCTAGAATGTCTGCACAAGCTCGCGGGCGTCACGCTAAAAAACCAGAATGACCTAAGTCATAAAAAGGGCAGGGCTGTGAACTGCACTAAATAATTTTCAATCTAGTTATCTCAGTTCAAAACCCCATACAAATGTGGAACACTTCCTCTGAATAAATGCCACGGGAGTGGGCGATGAGAGGCACAGCTCAAGTGTCACAGAGAAACACCGAGCGCGCTCTGCCTCTTGTGCCGCACGCTCTCCACTTGACCTTACATCCGGTCCGCGAAAAACTAGGAGAAAGGAAAAGTAAACAAAATACGTACATGTGAAATCATATTTTATAGATGAGGAGCTGTGCAGGCAGGTTAATACCGCCGCACGATCGAACGGGTTTCCTGACCCTAAGGTGAAGTGGACTAGTGGTCCTAGCTAAGATTGAGGTAGATGCCTGCTTCCCGGCAACAACTTGCTTCAAATAGCTTGTGCGGCATAATGTAAGACATTGGACAATGGCTAGACAAGTTTTCACGGCAACAAGACAGGAAGGCGAATCACTGATGAATCACACCATAATCAAGCATGTGTATGCGAGTAAGCAATGTGAAATCACGGACAAGTAAACACAACATCACGAGAAATAACCAAAACACATTTGGATTTTGTAAACAACGCACCGACTGGCACGACACCTCTCGACAAGTTGGAGTATCAAAAGTGAGTCAGCCCATTCGCTATGATTGCAATGCCGCCCGGTCAATTTGGCAGTCAATTTGATGTCATGCGAACGCTCCATGACGCAATCAAGCGACGACTAACTGAGGAGCATATTTACTTAACAGTAGAAGGAATTGTGTAGTCTGCAGCAGACTTTTCCACTAAAAAGAATGGCAATAAATGGAAGTGAGCTAATTTCGCCATACCCCATGGTGTCTTCTATATCTCCAAATGTGGAATATTTCATGTAGCAGAATCGAACGCGCAAACGTTCACAAAAATTGCAGACATACACCTTGGTCGGGGGTAGGTGGTGCGCTCTGCATGCGATCTGGTGGGGTTATTTCCAAACTAACTGTGAGTTGTGGATAACCATAGCTTGCATTGCTTAGGCAACCGCGTGTTGGTACGTAACTGTTTACAGAGTATGAGTTATATGTGTTACTCTGCTGCCAAAGTGCATGACAATTGGCATCACTTCTGTCGGCTCCCGTCAGTTGTACCCCCCCCCCCCCGCGGTCTGGGGAAGGGAAGCGGTAGTATCGCCTTCGTACAGTGGCTTCCTCCAAAATAATACTCTGAAGTGGTCGTTGACCAGTCCACACTTTCTGCGAGATTTGCTAGCATGAACACAATCCATATACCATGTCCAGACTAGAGTTGGACAAAATACGTGTTCACCAATATCGACAGTCCATAAACAGGAGAAAAGAAATATAGATTCGCCTTAAAACATATATTCGAGGTGGAAAATATTGGAAAGTGGTCCACTAATACAGCTACATCACCCATCCGAAGCCAAACCTTAACAAACAAGAACGTGTTTATTGTAGAATGTTCTTTTCCGTCTGACGCAAAGTCTACATTCATAGAAGTGCTTCCTACGCACAGATGCACATTGTGGCTCGCCATCCGGGCATGAAGTGTGGCTGCAGGTCAACGAATCATTTTTCCCTCGGAGTCTTAATCAGACAAGACTGCGCAATGATCCACGTGGCGCGGCGTGATGCCAGGTGACGCCCCTGTCTCTGCAGCCATGGGCGACGAGAAGGCGGCGTCGGAGGTGGGAGAGCGTGCTGCCTGGACGAACGCCCTCAGCAGCTGGCTGGCCCGGACGTCTCTGCACGGCGCACCGCGAGTGCTGCCAGACACGAGCCACTCCCGCCTCCAGAGGCAAGTCTTCCCCCTCCACACACCCTTACTCTGCGGGGCGAGGGTGTGGGTACGTGCCAAGGTCAAAGTTCTGCTGACACGAGCCGCCCACGCCTCCTGGGTGAGGTCCTCTTCCACAGCCTGAGGTGTACGACAGTGTTCAGAGGGGAGCAGGGGTCGTGGTTGAACGGGGTCACTGACAAGCTTTTGACGGACCGGTCAGCGTTCACTCGCGGCATCGGTAGTGTATCTGCAGGCAGCTGGCTTGGCCTGGCCGTTCCTATTATTTTATGAAGCTGTCGTGTGCGGAACGACAGGTAAAGTAATCATTCTACTACATATCAAGTTCAGATTGACGAGTGTAAAATATACTAGGTCTACTTGAGGACATGAACCAATTTATCTACGAAGAACACTGTTTAATAGCTGTTCATTCTTGTACCCTGTCTTTGTGGGTGGAGGTGCGCCTCAGAAAGTGCGGGTGCCGATGCCAATTTCAGTCGTTTCTTTCCATGCGTCGCCATAGGGTTAATGTTCAGGATTCTCAGGAGGTGGGGGATACCATGGCACCCACGGATCCCCCATTCTTACGCCTCTGCTTGTCGCTGCTAGGTCTTCTAATGTCGACGTTGCCATCAGGTACATTCATTTTGTTCTGCAGGGAGCGAGTTAATGCACGGGTTAAATTATTCAACTTCCTTTTGAAGACACGCATCTCTGTCACACGTTTCATGTGATGTCGATAGTTACGTAGGGCCAGAGGAATGGTACTGGGCACTAGCGCCTGTTACCAACTGATGTGTAATTTACGCCGTGTGTCGGGGCATGTTCTTACTTGTAATAAGCTCGTGAATCTGATGTTCATTTGGCGTGCCCCTCGGCGGCATGCAGCCACTCTCTCCTCATGTACACACCGCGCGCGTTTTGCCGAGATCAAGTACCTCGGCGCCAAGGGGTGCCAAGCACGCGTCATGAGGACCATATATCATGACTTTCCCGCTCTAGATGCGTCCTTGCCATCCACTCATGTGTGGATTATCGACTGCCGATGCCGTGAAGCTCGAGGTAAGCGAGTTTGACCCGTATAAGTTCGTGGGCTGTGTGTGTTAAGCCCATTGAAGGCGGTATGTGTGAGGGCCGTGTAGGTGGTCGCTGCCGCATGTCAAGCCCTGGCGCCGTGAGGCGCAGGTGCCCGATCTGACCGTGACTTGTTCTCACGCACCTGTCCCCCCATTGTCCCGGTGTCAGTCGCTGCGACCGGGCTGGCGCTTTTATAGTGGCGCACCAAAGGACGCCGCGCACAATGCTCGTATATCGCCGAACATGCCGCCACCTGCTGGCGCGCATCAGCGGGCGGCGGCGAGTGGGGTATCGCACAATGGCGCCGTCCGGATGGATGTCGAGGCTCAGGAGCGGCGCCGCGGCCACGCCCACGGGGCCGCACCTGTGTGGCCGAGGCCGGCGTTGTCAACAAAAGATGCTGAGATAGGGTGAGGAACGAAACATGTCGCTTGGAACAGCATAAGCCCGCACTCTGATAGGGGTGAGGCTAGCATTGTTACTTTAACGGAGTCATGCATCATGCCCCCACCCCCTGCTATCAGCACGTGTTTTGAAAAACGTGGAATCAGACGGGGTTGAAACATTAAGAGATCGTCTTATTAGCGTTAAGCTATCCTAAAAAGTTATAAGAATTCCTTAATGACACGCAAGCATTCCTCGCAATGGCTTTTCGTACCCTGTATGATGTATGGTATCTAAACGATGAAAAACGCTGCCTCCGTCCGATCTTAACACTAAAATAATAAGCGCCATCGGCCGGCATCCGTTGTTACAGAGAAGCGGGCATCAGCCGTGTTGCCATCCGTTCCATCTGTAGGTTTATTGCGGCCTTTCCTGCGTGTGTTCTGGTCAGGAGTCCCAGTTTTCGTAGGCTCAATCTTCGTACACCACAGGTTGATTTCTGCAGGACAGCAAGCCGCTAAAGCAAATTTTGCTCATGGTGGTCGGATGGTGTCCTTTGGTTTAACTGGCTTATAAACCAGACAGAAGCCGATGAACTTCACTGGGAAATTGTAAATATTTGGATGCATGCTAGTAACATGGATGCTAGAATTAAAACACGAAACTAAAGCAAATATGTCACCTATCACATTAATTTGTGCCGATTTTGATTTAACATCAGGACTGAACCTCGCTTATGTCTACATGAACCTCACCATATAATGTTTTAAAACCCTGTGACTAATTGTTAAAAACAGAGAAGGCTCGTGCGGACTTAACCAGATGTAATCAGACTTAGGCAGTCAGCAGACTTGTGTCTGGTTCCCAAGATTGCTTTCCGGAAGTAATTAAAAACGGAGGATCATTAAAAATTGGTAAGAAGCAGGATCCAGCGCTGAACTTTGCAGAAGGAACCAGCAAGAGCCACAATCCAGCCTGACACTAAGCTGAGGAACTCGGCAAGGACCAAGGTCCGGCTTGAAATATGCACAGAGATGCAGCGATAACGAAGACCCATCCTGTAACTATGTCGAGAGATTCACCAGGAAGTATGGTCCAGTCTGAAATATGGTCAGCGATCCAGCAAAAACTAAGATCGGCCTGATTATACCGATGATCGGCAAGAACCACATCTCCGTCTTCACTCACGGAAACCAGTGAGACCCAGGACCTTGCCGGGAATTCTTGTCAGAAACTAGTACAGATCCTTGTGGGAGCAGCTATGGCATGCACGTGGCACGAGCAAACAATACGTCTTTTGGTTCAGACGACATACCTTCCTTCAACGGAAGATCATTACTAAAATAAGGTAACCCGATCTCATATTCATAAATGAGCTAATTAATGTGAAGGAGGAACCGGTATCTAGTGTTTGAGAGTGATGCGATGGAACCAGAAATCAGGGTCTGGTGTTTGTGAGAAACCATTGCGAAACAGGAGCCAGGCCCCGGTCTTTGTGAAAGAACTAGTGGCAACCCAGGGTCTGATGTTTGTGAAAAACCAATGGGCGCCAGTAACAGAATTTTGGTGTTTGTGAAGAAACCACTGGGAAGGAGACACACGTATCTTTTTTTTAAAAAATAACCGGTGAGAATCAGAATCTAAGGTTCGGTGCTTTCAAGGCAATCTCTGGGATCCAAGAACCAGGGCTATTCTTTGTGTGAAAGGACCAGCCGGATCCAGGATCCAAGGTCTCATTTTCATGAGGGAAAGTAGAAACCAGCAAGCAGCGTTGGAAATAAAATGCCCATGTCTAGCAGTTAACATTCAGGGCTTGAAGTTGGCGTTTTCTTTTACAAGTCATCAGCTCTAGTCTCTTAAAAATTCGTAGATGCACATACCTGGCGCTATCTGCATTTGAGACACTTTCTTATCTAAAGTGAATATGCACTAGAGCATTTGTTAAATCGAGTGTCTGTGTCTTTTCCATACACATATTACTGATTCTTGACTAAGGCGTTGTATAAACATGTGCCCGGTTGAAAGGTTCGGCCGACTGTTACACCAGTTACTGTTCATTTCCGAGCGCGCTGCCCGGTTCCCACATACAATGCTGTTTCCGTTCGCCAGGCTCGTCTGGCTGCTCCTGACTCTGTTCGGCCTGACGATGGCCACCGTGCAGATCAGCCAGCGGATCCGGTACTACTACAGCAACCCGGTGTCGGTGGACATCGAGTCGTCTCACCGGCGCCGCATGCCCTTCCCGGCCGTCACCATCTGCAACCAGAACTGGCTCAGGTCAGTGGCGCACGCCCGGCGGCGAGCCGCGCCGCCCGGTTCTCCCGTGCCCCAGCCGCGCACGGCAGGCGCCGGCTGTGCTTTGGGCGGTCCTCTGACGTCACTCGGGTCGGCTCGTGCCGCAAGTAAAGGCACTCGGGTCGGCTCGTGCCGCAAGTAAAGGCTGCGACAAAGATGGACGATACGGCGATACGGCACTGCAGTGACTGGAAGATGGGGTTGTGTCGGTGCGTGCAGGAGGATTTTAGCGGAATGATTCCCAGGTGATGGCAAAGGCATGCCCTCCGCTCAAGAGCCCGAGAGCGACGACCCAAAATTCTGTGCAGTCACGCAGTGCTTCGTCCAGTGTCTTTGGTTGTGTATGACAGCAGCGAGAAAGGCATTAAGCTTCCGGTTATTATTCTTGTGCGAATGGGTCATGCGTAATTCATCAGTGGCTGTGCATACACCATCGAAATGTTTAGAGAGCTCAGGAAAACGGGATGATTGAGCCATTTGGAACACAGTCAATCGCCAATTATTTGGATGGCTTAACGTTGACCTATGGATAATAATTCTTAGAACATTGTTTTCTACAGGTTGAGTGCCACAGCTAATACAAGTACCTACCACTTTGGAGGACCTACTGGGACCCAGAGAAATCCTTCAGCATGGCGGACGTGAACGAAAGTAAGCGTACTTTGTTAACTGTTCGTTGTTGCGCGTTCACATGCACTGCTCTTGCGCGTTCTAGGTATGAACAAATTGCATTTCCGTTAGTGTCGTGATGACCTTTTCCACGTTTTCCTTCGTATGCCATTGGCTACAGGTTAGTTCAATCCTGTTTGGGCTAAATCCGTCACAAGTTACCATATTTTCGACTGTGTGTGTCTGGCATACTGACGTACGCAAGAGAGAGAGAGAGAGAGAGAGAGAGAGAGAGAGAGAGAGAGAGAGAGAGAGAGAGAGAGAGAGAGAGAGAGAGAGAGAGAGAGAGAGAGAGAGAGAGATATATATATATATATATATATATATATATATATATGCATAGATATAGATAGAGATATATTTACATATATATATATATATATATATATATATATATATGCAAATCTACCATTTGAATCTTAAATACGGCCACGCAGGATCTGATGAAGCGTGCGTCATTTCAAGGGTGGAGTTTGCCACTCCGTCGCTACATACCTTTTAAAGGATATGTCTGCGTTGGAGACATTTTCCACCAGTCTCCAGGACGATGTAAAAATCAAAACCAGGATCATAAAATGTTCTGCGGCTGTTATCGCGTTGACTGTCCTTGCACTGTGCTCGATGCTGCTGAATGCCTGTTTCCCAAGCCTCGGCTATATATATATATATATATATATATATATATATATATATATATATATATATATATATATATATATATATCCTCTCCTTAAGATAATGCAAAACGGGTGCGTGGCGTCCGGCTAATACACAATATCGACGCCACCGAATTGATGGTATTCGTAACCAATGACTTCCCAGAGTGAATCACGTGCTGTTCTCGGGCCAGGCTCAGTCCTAGCAAAAACGTTCATTGGCTCTCCATATAGCTTATCAACCAGCCTACGCCCGCCTCATGCTGTATCAATAGCAATTCCAGAAGCTTCTGATGCTGTTTTCACGACGGAAGAGAAGCTGCCTAGGGGAAAATGAAGAGAATAATCAATTCGTCTATGTTTCCAACACAAGCGCATGGGCAACAAAGCAAGCTTAGCACTTTATCAGAATAAGTTGGCTTAATCTGGTCACCCTTTTGCCCCGCTTACTGACAACTGTCTTTCACAATTTTTATCAATCCGAATCCTTGAAGCATTGCGCAGCCATTGCGCAATGGTTGACCGTATCCATGCATAAAATTGTTGATGTTTTTGACATTAAGCATATTTGATGCTGTCAAATGCCCCGTATTTTTCGTTTGAGATCTTGTTGGTCGTTTGTCGGACATAAAATACTATAATTATGCTCATTCTGACCACGCACTCAATGGGGCGTCATCCACAACTATTACCCTGAAAATGTCATTGCTCCGGCATGATTTATGCTGCTTCCAGTGGAAACAAAAATAACATGGTGACCTTTCGCTCCTTCTCCAAGGCATGCCTTCTGACAGGGAATCCAAAGCGTGGAATTCTGACAGGGGATCCAGGGCATGGCTTCTGACAGGGGATCCAAAGCGTGGCATTCTGACAGGGGATCCAGGACATGGCTTTTGACAGGGGATCCTGACGTGGCATTCTGACACGGGATCCAGGTGTGTGTTGTGATTGATGAGAGCTGTTGAATTTAAAAGAACGCGTCGATGGTACGTACTTTCTTATTTCGCGTCGTATTCCATAGCCGAAGGCGATACCTTGCAGCAGAACAAACTGCAGGTCACCAAGGTGGGAATATTTCCGGTAATTCAAATTTGGTTGTGCTAAAAAAAACTATTTCTCAAAATCATGTTGCTGTGCTGACCCCAGAAACGACGAAGTTGGAATTATCGATGTACCAAGCCACTCCAAAATAGAGGCATCTCTTTGTCCTCCATCGTAACATACATGCAATGCGCATTTAATGCTGAGTATTCTATCGCTGGATGATCGGAACGGAAGCTTTTTAGTGTCATGAAATCGGGTACTGCCGAGTCTCTCCCACATCCCTGAATCTAAATCCGTGTGCTCCTATGGGGTCCGCACACCTTTGACCGTCACCAACCGAACGCATCCATGACCATTTTGTTCAACAAACTAACCTTAAGCGAGCGTGCTTACTTATTTGAGCTCCGTGGTACACACCATTCTATATTATTTTGTGCTTACCACGCGCCGGCTGTCCTTCGCAGCGTTCGGGAGGCTAACGTCCGGTGGCTTGGAGCACTACCTGACATACTGGTCTCACCAACGACGCGATTTGATATTCAGGTGAGCTCATACTCGCATTCGGATATATTCCTGCACCTAGCTGCACTCGAGATATAAAGCGATGTACGCATATATGCTTATATTTACATATATATATATATATATATATATATATATATATATATATATATATATATATATATATATATATATATATATATGTATATAGAACTTAAGGAAGTAGATTATCATTTATGTATGTTTTGTGAAAAACCACAGCGGACCTAGCATTGATGATCTTTTTGAATGTTCCCTCAGAAAATCTGATGAAAGCTTTAGCTGCTGATCGATGTTCCTTTAAAATAGCACCAAAGCTCATGATACAAAGAAGATGCAGATTGTCGTACTGCACTGCATGGCATCAATTATATTTACAAACTTCGCATACTGCATTGGACATTTTCTAGAGTGACAGTCTTAGACAGAATCGATATAATCGCATGGATTGCATAGTTGCAAAATTCAAGTTATCTCGTGACGGCTGTATCTCGTTTGAAGAACGGTTAGTGCGTGCTTTGATTTTTGGTTTCGGTTTTAGACACTGTATCGTGGTCCGGTTGTTCTGGGCTTCCAGAGTACGCCCATTGTAATCTTTGTCGGCTAGTTGACTCGCCTAAGCTCCTAGCACACAAGGGGCCATGCCGATCAATATTTGACCCGCGCCCGGCCGGGGGAAGCTGACTTCCGCCCACGGTTTTTCAAACGCAGATAAAAAACGAACGCTCGCAGCGACACAAAATTTTCAGTTCCCCTTTGTCCACCAATTTGGCATCCTTGTGCAGAGTTGAAGCGTTGATCCACCAAGATCAGTGAGCTATGTCAGGCCAAATAGGTCAGCCTCTAAAAAATTGTGATCCGCATAACTTGTTTGTGGGTCACTTGCCATTGCTCAAACTTGGCAGAGTAATAGTGCACGATGATACGTAAAGTTTGTTCATTTCAGATTTTTCGAAACAGGCGAGGTCAGCAACCTGAAGTCAGATCAGTTAATATTATTTTAGGGAAAATAATGTAAATTTGTGCGGTTTTTCGTGTAGTTTTGGTGTTGTCATATAACACATGCGCAGCCATCATATGGCCACAGAGCACATGACCTTCGCCCAGAACATAAGCCACCTCTATGGGTGTTTTCTGCAAAACACATGCTGAACTCAAAACAGGCAGTTTGTGGGTAATTTTGGACGCGGAATTCGAATGCTCCTCTGAAAACATGTTGCGATATGATGCTAATACATACTGAAGACACAATACGTCACATATTCAAGTGCATGTCGCGTGTGCATATCCGAGGGCAGTGACCTCTGTCTTCAGTAGACGAGAGGCTAGATGAGCGTGTGCGACGCGTGTAATCACCTCCATACCGTGTTTTTGAAGCTCATGACGAATATATTCATTTACCAACCTGTCCGTTCTCAGGTTGTTGCAAATACATTGCCAAGCGTCGAAGGGACTATGTATTAAGTATACAAGAGCTGTGAGATCTTGAGTACCTACATGTGTACAATACGTCATATGAGAATAGATATGGCCATGGCCATATATATTCTCATCGCCACAGAAAAGCTTTGTACTGGTCATTTTGACACGGTTAGCACTTCAAATTTTTCATTGGATGATTAATAAATTTGGCCTAAGCTGTCCCCAGCTGACCTGTAGGTCAAATTGAAATGTTGTCCTTGTGTCTGAAATATTTTTGTTTCACAGCTCCACCTAATGAAATAAACTCAGAAGCACACTAGAAATAGTGCTATTCTTATAGGTTACTCGTCGACCAATTTTGAATGGTGACGTGATCTGATTTGACCCTTGTTGGAAACGGAAATGGTCCGAGTTGATTCCCCACATCCTTAACGCTTATTTCCGTGCTCTTGATGTCTGTCTTGACGTGTTAACATAGATTTGAACTGCATCCATCAGAACGACCATTTTCGACATCTCGTGACCTATGGTGACCCAATTTTCACCTAAAATCACAAATTTGACGCACATTCTTCACTTTCTTACGATACCTTTATAACGGTATCCTTGTTTTTCATACGATGGCTGGAAATTAGGGATCACAGGGAACAGAAATCAATTCCTCCCGGCGCTGGCGGCAGGTTCAAAACGCAGTGGACATAAGTCCGTATTATATTGCTTCTGTACCTGTCCTGGACATATGGTCTGTTTGCTCAGGCATTGCCGGCTTCAGCAGGGGCTTGCTGATGGATGCCTGGTTGTGAAGGCTATACACAAAAGTGTTTGCCGGTCAATTATAAGGGAGGAACTTAGTTGAACTCTGGAAACAGTCTAAAAGATAATCACTGTTGAGGATTTGCTGGGTACACACACACCACAACAACACACACACCACACACAACCCACCACCACCCACACACGACACACACACACACACACACACACACACACACACACACAACCACACACCACACACACACACACCACACACACACACACACACACACACACACACACACACACACACACCACACACACACACACACACACACACACACACACACACACACACACCACACACAACACACACACACACACACACACACACACACACACAACACACACACACAAACACACACACACACACACACACACACACACACACCACACACACACACACACAACACACACACACACACACACACCACACACACACACACACACACACACACACACACACACACACACACACACACACACACACACACACACACACACACACACACACACACACACACACACACACACACACACACACACACACACACACACAACACACACACACACACACACACACCACACACACACACACACACACACACACACACACACACACACACACACACACACACACACACATATATATATATATATATATATATATATATATATATATATATATATATATATACCTGACCAGCTGCATATGTAGAACAGGCGACTGTCGCAGCGACAGCTGGGATGGTGTCCTGCACGCTCAAAAGGCAGCTGCTGCGGCGGGGTTTGTCCCCCAGCTGCAGCTGGCATGGGAAGCACAACAACTGCGGCGCCCGGCAGTTCAAGCGGACGTTCACAGACTACGGTCTGTGCTACACATTTAACCACTACATGCGAACGCCGCTGGTGTCGGAGCTGAGCGGCTCCAAGTACGGCCTGCAGCTGGTGCTGAACGTGGAGCAGTACGAGTACGTCCGAGGTCCGGAGATCACGGCAGGTACCCGTGGCGATGCTGCTGGCAATGATCGCGATCGTAATATCGGTGATGATGATGATGCAATTCATGATAATTATCGTACTGATAACAATGGCTGCATAATGTTGGTAATGGCGATATTATCAGTCGCGCTTATGACACTGCTACTGATAATGCTGCTGATGTTGATGATCCGCATGGTTATGCTGCTGATAATTGCAGATGTGATGACGGCGGCGTGCCTGCCTTGGTGTAGCGGCCATTTGCAGCCTAACAGTCGGTGTCCGTGGCGTAGGTGTGAAGGTGCTCGCCCACCACCAGCGGCAGCCGGCCATGATGCAAAACTCGGGCGTGTACGTGCCCGTGGGGTTCAAGGCGGACGTGGACCTCCGACTGAAGACGCGGACCAACGTTCCGCCCCCGCATGGCAGGTCGGCAACGCCAGCCGATTCTAGCACCGACAGTCGCGATTGGGCAGCTCATGCTAGCCTAATCCGCGTGCATGTGTTTAAACGGGATGATCAGTTGCCAGAACGAGCAGTAACAAAGCGAAGGTCATAGTGATTTCGTCCAAGCTCGCACACACGATTTTCTCAGGGATTCCCCAGTCTTTGAAAAGGTCCGAGGGTATTTAGAGCGTCATTCAAAACTTTCTCCGATTTTGTTGAAGCTGAAAGGTCGGATAGTGCACCAGGGGCAAACTTCACCTCCCGCAATATGATGTTATTTTTCGGCATTGTTGGTTAGTTGCTAGTCATTGGATGATTCAAATGACTTCTTGAGCCTCTTTATCTGGGAAGGAGTGAAAGGGCAAAGTTGGAGTCACAATTTGCTCTTCAACGTCAATTGAATATTTAGACAACTTGATGTGACAGTCCATGTTTAGGAAACGCGTTGCTACCAATGCAAACGGAAAATTGTACCGAACGATCCAGACATTGGTTGTGGTCAGGGGATAATACTATTGGAGCGCGAGTTTAGGACAAAATCGACGGTCACGCACGCTAGGCACGGAGCATCTTGGCCTTAAACTGGTATTATACCACCGATTAGCGGGGACATAGCACCCCCAAACTCATATATTATTATCAACACTGCAATGGGGCTATTGGGTGCTCTGAATTCATTTCGGAGATTTTTAGCTGGATCCGACTGATGACTTTTGATGTATATATATATATATATATATATATATTGAAATGCATTTTGAGATACGTCTAAGATATATATCCACCAAAGCTAGGGAAGCCGCCATTCCTGGAGTCTTGGGGGCCACTATATAGACCTGGGGTTCTCTGTCACAGTTTGAGGCGCGATTTTTACTGGAATTGGGATGGGCCACTCCGCGGGGTATGCGACACCTTCGCTATGGGTTTAGGGCGCCTTTCCGTCCTGGCTTGGTGCCACCCATCCACCAGGACTTCGGGGCGCCGCGCCGCGTGAGTTTTGTGGCACCCCTCCTTCGGCTTTCTGTAGCAGGAATGCCGTAATCGGAGGAGGGCCCACAAATTTCCTGGTTCTAACAGTGGTGGGAGAGAAGATAGGGCCCTCCACTTGATCGTGCCTTTGAATCATGTGCTCTTTTTTTTGTTTTCAGATGTGGTGATAAAACACTCACATTCTACCGCTCATATTCAAAAGCAACGTGTGAGATGGACTGCGTTTACCAGTACATGATGGATCTTTGCCACTGCCGAGATGTCTACCTGCCGGAGACTTCACCAGGTAACACTGAAGGGATTGGGCATAGGGATTAGGGATAGGGATAGGAAACAATGAAGGGATTGGCCCCAAAACACGTCTGCCATTTACCCACGGCGATCATGAGGTTCCTATTCAGTAAACAGTCACTCAAAGCTAGCCAGTCTCAAGCAACTGAACTGAACAAGCAAAAAGCAGCTGAAGCAACTGAACTGTTGCCGCATGTATGCTATGTTGTCGGGCATGACGCTGTACTTCCCATAAGGGAAGTATTACCATCACGTACTCGCTTCCTAGAGGACAGAAGCGTGGGCTAAAATTTGCAGAATCATCATAGCTAAAGATGAGAATCTTGGAAACAGCAGCATGCCATTAAAATGCGGTTAGCATGCAACAGGTTTTCACGTACTTCACCTGAAAATAGCATTTTAGCATGTCAGACGCTTGAAGCGCTGCACGATGTTCAAGCGGTGGATACTCTGGCCGCCAGCGTCAGCCACATTAAATTGAGAACTAACTTATGTTTAAATTGCGATCGAGCAAGCCAAATAGGTTGGTAAACAGAAAGAGCATAATGTCCTAAACGGATGGGAGAGCGGGCTAAGAAAACGCTATTCCAAATAGATGGGTACCGGGTGGCTTACATGCAGCGTGTAGAGAGTAGGTCGAGCAGAGGCGCAAAGCTAGAGAGAGGGAGAGGGGTAGGGTGTTAATTTTACACCTACTAAAATTTAAGCGTTGGGCGTTGACTGAAAAGAAATAAATAGAAATGGCTATGGACGCCCATTTGGAGAGCTTCCGATGCCCCTGGGATGCCGATGCCCCTGGGTTTGCCTGTACGGAAAAGGGCGGGTGCGGTTAGGGACATCGTAACAGTGAAGATTTCTGCTTGTGATCCCAGTCTCAGACTGTATATCGCCATTATTACCTAAGCTGGTACTGCAGGGCAGCTGAGTGGTCATACCCATTTAGGGTAATGCCTAGTGTCTCCGAAGCGGCGGTGAATTGCCTGCTACGTAGACTGTACCGCATTACTCTGGTGTACGGCGGGCTGTTCCTGGCTCCGCCTGGCCCGCAGAACAGCTGAGCTTCACATCATGACACGGAGACTTGTTCGAGTAGGTAAGGCGAGGGAAACCACCTGAAGGTAGCTGCCCGTTCCCTCCCCCTCATCTCACCCTCTTCATGCATCTTCGTTCAAATGTGTCCAGGTGTGTCACCGCCTGTCAAACAGTATGTCTTTCGGTGTCATTCAGACATGGCAGACCCAACCTCGGGCCTGGTCAGGGGCGAGGTTTCGCAAAATTGGTGGGGGGCTGAGCGATGCAAAATGGTGTAGCCTGCCCCCCCCTTAAAATACGCCAACAAATGGGTTTCTCCGCGGATTGGCTTACTTTCTTCTCAAAGTTTGGAAGGTAGGGGGAGGGTTGGAGTCCGAGTTCGGGGGCTGAAGCCTCTCCCAGCAAAACTGAAAACTACCCCTCTGAATCTGAGCATGGAGGGAGGAGCGGAAGGCAAGCTTACACTGTCGCACCAAGAGCTAAGCAAATAGCCGACACCAGGCCCGAGGAGAGAGGAGAGGCTCGTCTTGACACCACCGGGCCCGCAGCCGCGTTAGCCGCCATCGAATGTGCGTATCCTTGTCAGCATCTGTGCCTCAAACACTCTGATACACAAGCCGCTGACAGCTCAGAAACACACACACAATGGCGCGCGCTCTGTCGCAGCTGTCACAAGTGTCGCACCGGAAAAGCCGCTGTCGCACCTGTCGCCTCCTGAATAGACGCCAACTCGAACAAGATCTTCCTGTCAGCACATACAACATCCGGCGTTGGGCGCCTGAATCATGATGATGTGTGGAATTTGGATGACGACGCTGGTGAAAGCGCACAGAGCCATGCTGCAGGCCGGGTGTGAGCGATGGCGTGTTCGCGTTCTGCCGTCAGCACATTTTCTGCATATTGCTCATTACTGAAGAGTCTTCGGTTTACGTGGGGAAACGCCGCTATGTTGTTCATGTTATTTTTTAACCGCGGTGATTGCAGAGTGCCCAGACGTTTTGTGGCACGCTTGCTTTCTGTGTCGAACGCATATTATACTATCTGCTTTTCCGTTATTGTTCATGGTTATGTTCGCTAGCAGAGTATCGGAAGTATAGTGGTTGAGCTGGGTATTTGGAGACTTGCAGAGTTACGAGATTCGATTGCCCGACGAGATAGATTCGATTTGAATTCCAATGTCATATGGTATTTGTAAGTTTCAAAGAAAGAGGTGTACAATCAAAGGTGAAGTCAGGAAGTGAGCGTAGGGGTATATTGTTTGCACTTAAATGCAACGTTTGCCCAATCACGAACGCACTAACAGTCAAATGAACATAGCCTTGTCCCAATGAAATAGAACCCTTACCGTGGCAAAACTTTGACAATTTGTGAACGTCTTGGGCCGGCAGCATATCCTTCTTTTGCCAAAGTTCCATGACGCATCTCCTTTCCAAGTGAAAACGCTTGGATGCAATAGGGCGGACAATTTCGGAATCGGGCAAAGAACCGTTTTAACACGCGCTCACGTGGGGGTCAAATGGAACCCCCACGAAGGTTTTTCCAGAATGGTTTCCGAACAGCGCGGCGTAGCCACGCCAAATTTTGCGTAGCTGTGGACAATTGAATAGTGGATCGTTTGACATAAAAAATTTAGATGTGCATTGTCAGGCCACTGACCTATGGCAGGTCGAACTCAAGCCATGGCTTCAGCGAACATAATTTTTAGTGAATCGTCAAATCTGGTACAATAACGGAGAGTTTGACGAAGTCATATAATTCTGAGATGCTTTCTTGGGCACCAAAAATATGGAATGAGCAAATTACGTTGACCTAAGGTCAGGTATGCAGGTAAGACCAAGGTCTAAACAAATCTGACTTATTGCGCTAGGGCTTGCTGTAAGGATAGTTTGTGGTGCTCATTTCGAATTTATTGACAGCAGAAACCGCATTATACATCTTCCATGGCCTTCTTAGTGGTCAGAACAGGTCATTGACCTAGGATGACCCGGGTCGACACTTTGTTATAGGAGCATACTGCCTAGCGTAATCTTTGTCCACTTATTCAAATGCAAAACTCAGAGCAGTCTTGTATGATTGTGGTTACCATGACCCTGAAAAGATTAAACAAGGTCACTAACCTCAAATGGGTTTGTGACCTTTTGCTTAGATACAGTTGCCTAGGATCTGGAGGCACTTAAGAGACCAGCCCGGAATTTGACCTTGTTTGACCTTATTTGACCTGAAGGTCATAAGTGAGAATGCTCAAACTTTGACATAATGTGAGTTCACGTACAGGTCAAGATACCCTGTAAACTTGGTGTGTCTAGCTTTCTGAGTTCCCGAGATTTCAGTGGGTGGTGTCAAATTGCCCCCCCCCCCCCCTCCCCACCCTAACGAAGTGTATCAAGCCGGCCACCCGGACGCGTGTTAAGCCATCTTTTACCATGTAAGGACATCGTGCTCATGCAAAAATTGTCATGAGCAATTGGAGGGCTAAAGTGCTTTTCTTTCACCGGAGGCGCGGGAGCCGGTGGGGGGGGGGGGGGGGGGCAGACGCTGAGCCCTAAACTTTCTAAAATTTTAGGACTGGTCATATTTGAGTTGATTTTAAAGAGGTCCTAAAATGGGTATCGTTTTCCTTCCTTTGGAGAGGTTCCGACACTCCTGGTTTAAATAACGTAACTCAAAGCTCTCGCTCTGCAGCAGTGGCGGAAATTCGTAAAAAGTACTACCGGGTCGAAATTTACGTTTGGGGGAGAAACGGCCGCCAGCATGCCTCCCGGGCTCCTTTTAGTATTGGGGTTGTCGTGTTATTGGGGACCGGATCAACGTCGGAACTAAAGTCACCACAAAACGACTCGATGTCACACCCAACCTCGAAGAAATGCACCGTGCCGGCTCAAGTTGCAAAGATCGCAGCGTCCAGACCGAAAATAGCACCTTCGATATCCTAGACGAACGAGCCTTCATTACCCTCCAGATCAAGGATTTCTTGCATTTTTGGTCGTAAATTTCCTTATTTTCTGTCCTCGTCTCGCAGGTTTCGGTGGCATATGGTTTCACCATGGCATATGGTCGACTTGTTTTGTAAAACCACTTACATGACGTCAGCAGAATGAAGCATTCATTTTGTTGGTTACGTCTTCCGAAAATTATGGGCATGATGGTAACACCCGCGTAACCTTGAAATACAATTATTATGGGGATGTCTGTACCAAGCTATCCCCAATTATAGGCTGTGAAATGTTTAGTAGAAGCCAAAAACAAGCACAGACTTAAACATCAAGTCGATTTCTAGCATGCTGCTAAAACCGAGAAACCAGACTCTGTATTACGTGTCGTGTATCATCCTAGGCGCGACACGCTGGCCTCATTAATGATACAGCGCTTTCAGCGACCGGCCAGGTCAGTCCGATCTATCCAACCAGTCAGATCGATCTGAGGCATGCTACGCACGCAGCACCTCTGCTGGGATTAAATGCAGGAGATGCTGCGACCGAATTTGTCGGTTCGGGCGCCGTGCTGCGCCCAAAAGACACATGACTGCATGTGGCGGTGGCCTCACCTACGTTGCTGGTGCAAAACTGATGCAGCGCTCTCTTGAAACTCATGAGAACCTGCGTCCGCTTCTTGCAGCAGCTTCCGATCGGGACAGGGCGCGGGGGCGTTGAGCACATTTGGGCCGTGTGCCGCAGGCTTCCCGGCCCTGTGCAGCTTGAAGATGTGGCTAATGTGTGCGCTGCAAGTGCCGGAATACTACCACTACACCGGCCGGCTCTGCCAGTGCCCGCAAGCCTGCCACAGCTCCCACTTCGATGCCAGGTCAGTGGGCACAGCCGGGAATTTGGTAGACGCTGTTATTGCGTCATGCTCGCGGAGAGGCGTTGAGCTTGCTTTCTCGCGGTTACATGCATCTTTATCTAAGGAAGGTACGTTTACGGAGGTCGCTACTTTATTCATGGGTGTCGTTGATTAAAATCGCCAAGCCTAACTGGACTCGCCGCTCTCAGAGCAACACAATTTTCAAACAAGGTTAGTTATGAACTGGCGCGAGATTGCTACATCAGTGGACCTCGCGTGACAAGTTCTCGTGAAAAGTGCTTACTAATGCAGTGATCAAACCCATTGCATTTAGTGTCTGGCCCCATCGACTCAGTGTCTGGCATCGTCCACATAATTGCAAATAACGCCTTTCACGTTCGTTATCATCCCGCTGGCCACGACGGTCTCGCCATGCTGTCTGTGCTGCACGAGGTGCCTTAGTAGTATTGGTCATATGATGTCAGCGAAAATAGGCACAGCATAAAATTCATTTAAGGTGTCTGTTCTGATCTCCGTCGAATTGCTGGATGAGGTACGGTTTTTACTCGTCTTGAGCACTTTCTATCGTTGTCGTTATTACAGCGCGTCTCATGACGACCTTCCCGCCTATTTTGACACTTTAAAGTGGGTAATGTTAAGAGGTGATAATGGTGAATGGGTATGCAAGGTAGCAAAACAAATAGACAAAAACAAAGCAAATAAAGCAGATGCATCACGATCAGTTACATGACCAAGTGACGCGTGCCTGGACATCTGCGCATAAGTCCTTCCTCACACATGCGTTCGAGTACTTCTTTAGCACGCAACAAAGAACAAGTAGCAAAGCATCTGAGTTGAACTGGCGGGTGGAGTTCAAATAGAAAGTTTGAGGAGTCATTAGCGTGTGTTGAAACATGTTATCTGTCCGTCAGATTACGGTCAGCAATGATTCTCCCTCCATGTCTCATTGTACTGTGCTCCACTTTATCAGGTCGTCCCATGTACTCCACGCGCCGTGCGTTGAGGCTGAGCGATCTGTTTCAATGTAACCTAATCGGAGCTGTTGTACAATCTATTTCAGAGTAGTCTATTTGAGGCTGTCGCACAATCTGTTTCAGTGTGACCTAATCGGAGCTGTTGTACAATCTGTTTGAGAGTAGCCTATTTGAGGCTGTCGTACAATCTGTTTCAGTGTAACCTAATCGGAGCTGTCGTACAATCTGTTTCAGAGTAGCCCATTTGAGACTGTCGCACAATCTGTTTCAGTGTAACCTAATCGGAGCTGTCGTACAATCTGTATCAGAGTAGCCTATTCGCAGCTGTCGCACAATCTGTTTCAGTGTAACCTATTCGAAGCTGTCGTACAAGAGCGCTCCGAATGTGGTCGGAGGTCACCCGGGCAAGTACCGCGAGGCGCGTCACCGCTTCCTGCAGAGTCTGAATACGCACGAGCGCGTACACCCGTCCCGAGTGCGGCGCACCCGGGAGATCACCGACCAGGTCAGATGGCACTTGACATCAGGTCGGCCGGTACGGCTGTGGTGGGGCCACCGAGGTCAGGTCGGCCGGGACGGTAGTGGTGGGGCCACCGAGGTCAGGTCGGCCGGTACGGCTGTGGTGGGTCCACCGGGGTCAGGTCGGCCGGGACGGTAGTGGTGGGGCCACCGAGGTCAGGTCGGCCGGTACGGCTGTGGTGGGGCCACCGAGGTCAGACCGGCCGGGACGGCTGTGGTGGGGCCACCGAGGTCAGGTCGGCCGGCACGGCTGTGGTGGGGCCACCGAGGTCAGACCGGCCGGGACGGCTGTGGTGGGTCCACCGAGGTCAGGTCGGCCGGGACAACTGTGGTGGGGCCACCGAGGTCTGGTCGGCCGGTACGGCTGTGGTGGGTCCACCGAGGTCAGGTCGGCCGGTACGGCAGTGGTGGGGCCACCCATCCGTGGATCACAGGTCCGGTCACGTACTGCGGCCTTACTGCAGAGTAACAACTGAGTAGGGCGCTACACATTGGTCTTGCATCTTGCACCCAGCGCGAGGCGAGCTGGTGCTTAGTGCCTCGCGTGTGCGTTCAAAGAACATTTGAACTGGGTACCTCCCATGTTGACCCACTGAAATGCAGTAATGCATGGATTCCGCTCTGTGCAGCTCAAAATATATCGGATCACGGTTTGGATCATGAAAATCCTGAAACGTTTCGATCGTTTAATGCTGGTAGTCGGGAGCGTACCGTTTCAAGAAAGTCACGTCGGGCAGCCCGGATTTTGCTAGAGGTCGGAGTGCATAGGATTACATTGCTCACTTTGGTAAGCCTGGACTCTGGAGCTCACTTGTTTACAGTGTTCATTGTGAGCAGCTGGGCACGCAACAGTGCGAGATGTCTGCTATGGAAATAGAATTGCGCGCACACGATAACGCAGCTTGGTGTGTTTGTTCGCCACAGCTAACGCGTCATTGTTCCACCAGGTGACGCTGGCACTCCAGGGACTGAAGGATAGTTTGGACAATTCCTTTCAAAGAGTGCAGAAGACGGTCGCCCGTTTTGACGAGATCTTTCTGGTATGTGGTCCTGACTTTCACGCAGAAACGCTCCTTTCCAAAGGTCGATGCTGAGGAGTGTGGGGTAGGGAACGCGTTGAGACGATGCTTAGCATCCTAAGTCCGTCCGAATCCTCGATTTCGTGCGATTCTCTGTCGAGTCTGTTCCATACCACGACGGTCAACAGCCTTTGCGTGCATGCTGGGATGTTAGAAGCCATCCGCCAAGAATTGCATTGTTGCGATTGCGAGAGCTGCGGCGGTTGAAAACGAACTAAATCCGAGTATCTTATTTATATGCGCTTCCGAGATCATATTCATGATAGTGAGGTCATTCAGTCGTGGGCGTTTGCTTCCCTGTGCACTGTCCCGTGTTTCAGGGCCTGGACCACCAGGTGCAGGTACTGGTCCAGGTAACACGCATCTTGAAGGCCGCCTACCAGACGTACATCGTGGATGAGTCGGTGGATCCCTGCTCGCGGCTTGTGGACATGGGCACCATAAGCCTGGTGGCTATCGGAAAATATGAGATCCGTGAGTTAATATATACGACACGCGATGAATGGTGCAATGGAAAACGTGTGGTGTGTAATATATATATATATATATATATATATATATATATATATATATATATATATATTATATATATATATATATATATATATATATATATATATATATGTCTTTCCGCAATGGACATCTCAGTTTCCTTTGAACCTGCATTTGCCTCCCATATATCATATAACCCATGTTATTTCTGATCCTTCTATGGATTAAATCCTACGCCACATATCCCCTATTCTCTCTGAGCCTCCTATGTATCCAATATATCCTCTCTTCTCTCTCTCTCTCTCAGAGCCTGCCAATATATCCCATCCATTTTTGATAAGATTATGTCACGATTGTGTCACGGTGATGCTACTTCCCTATGGATGTTTCCCTGGAGCTCGCTAAATTTCAGTACACCTTTTCAATAACACTCAGAATATTTTCAGATAAAGTCACTATTTCGGGCGCCACGTCCTTGTATCAAACGTTTTTATGCATACACCGCACAATGGGCAAAAATCACATCTGAGGGCATACGAACTAGTAGAGTCCCGAGATCCATGTGCCGGACAACGAACACGCTACATCCCGTCCGTAGCCCGCTCTGTGTGCCGGACAATGAACAAACTGCACTCGTCCACAACCCACTCGGTGTGCCGAACAACGAACACACTGCACCCGTCCTTAACCCCGTGTACTGGACAACGAACACACTGCACCCGTCCGTAACCCGCTCTGTGTGCCGGACAACGAATACACTGCACCCGCCCGTAACCCACTCTGTGTGCCGGACAACGAACACAGTGCATCCCGTGTGTAACCCTTTATGTGTGCCGGATAACGAACATACTGCACCCGTCCGTAACCCCCGTGTGCTGGACAACGAATACACTGCACCCACCCGTAACCCGCTCTGTGTGCCGGACAACGAACACACTGCACCCGTCCGTAACCCGCTCTGTGTGCCGGACAACGAACACACTGCACGCGTCCGTAAACCCCGTGTGCCGGACAACGAACACACTGCACCCGTCCGTAACCCGCTCCGCGTGCCGGCCAGCGCGGGCGGCGTCGGACCTGACGGCAGCGGGCGCCGGCGCGTGGGGCCGACTGCAGGCGGCGGCGCTCCGCTCGGCCGTCGGCCCTCTCAGAGCGCGGCTGGCCTTCGGTCGCGGTCTGCTGCATCAGATGAGCGGCTGTCTGCACGGTGAGCGCCGCTCATGCACGCTGGATGTTTGGCAGGCCCTTGCCACATCGGTGGGGATACACGCTCAAAACGCAGATGAACATGCGTGACCGGTAGGCTGCTATTAGCTTGCATGTTCAGACCCGCTCGGGTTCCAAACAATGCGTGCCCGGTATCTGCGCGTAGCCTGCCGGTATTCCTACCTGCCAAACCGTGCAGCTCGGGCAGGTAGGAGATTGGCAATTCGAGACCCTCGTACTGAAGATTCAGTTTTGCAATATCCCAATAGATTAAGATTGAGGTGACGAATCTATTGCATGGGTTTCAGAGCGCAGGTAATTTTAATTGTACCGTTATGTCATGATGTTTGCTTTGTTTTCACAGATGTAAGCGCAATGAGTGAATGTTGTGAGAGTCGCACGTATCGTTACTTCTTTCTTTAATTTCCTGACTGATCTGTATACTCGAACAGAAATATCTGAACCCTGAAAGTCAGGATTGCAAGTACCTGCATTGATGAGTCTCTTCAGCCTTGGGGTGGTGGTGTCGTCCTCAAGAACAAACCAGCCCGATCATTTTAAATAATTTTGCGGACATGAATAAACAAGGAAAATATCAGGTATCCCTAGGATGGCTAGTGGGTGCCTAAAAATGAGTTGCAGAGGAGTTGCAGTTGCGGATCATATAAGAATTGTACTTCGACGTTGTTGCATGTTCGGAAAAGTATCAACCAAACACCTCAGTTCTTCCGACGAGAGATTATTTGTTCGTGTTGTTTTCGAATGAGAACATGAATTCGACCGTAATTAATTTTCGACACAGCATGGAAATAAGCCAAAGCGCAGTTGGCGTCATTACAAGGGCGTAGACGTCGTCCACCGTGCTATGTAGTTACACTAAACCTCCTCCAAAACTGAAGCTTCAATAGCTATTGATAAACTGCCACCAATGGTTTCCTCAGTGATTCTTTTTTGGTCGAGTTCAAAATGAGCCGCTGAAAAGCCCACCACAAATCAACAACAGAAGTTGAAAGGTAAGATATGTCGGATGTTAACGTCCGGCGATTTTCATACAAAGGTCCAAATATTTTGGACACTCGATTTTTTGAGTCTCTTGTACACCATCTGTTTATCCAAACCTCAAACCGGCATTGTAATCGAAATCCACTCACCGCAGGATGTAAATACTAAATTACAGCGAATCCTCACTTCCATTGGGCAAACAACTGGTAGCATCCAACGGCTCGATGTCAAGTGGGCTGTTGTGATGTCCTTGGCTATGTTTTTCCATGGATACACGTGTAAACACACGCTTCAGGAGCTGGGCATTTATTTAATGTCATCCCAAATGCGGTACATCATGCACCAAACCGACACTGCAAGAATGGCGACTTTACTTGCGACGCAAGCCAATGCGCCCGAAAGTCGCGCTGAAACAAACGCTGTGCGCAAACACCAAGCTGACGGTTCTTCTAAGAGCAGTAGGTGCCGTCAGCGGTGTTGGTCTGGATCCAGGACAGCACCTCGGTGACTCGGGCGTAGACGCCCGGGTAGCCGGGCAGAGCACATCCCCGACCCCACGAGACGACGCCGATGAGGGAGTAGCGGTCGGACTCGAGGCTGACCATCGGGCCACCGCTGTCGCCCTGGCACGAGTCCTTGCCGCCCTCACTGAGACCGGCACAGATCATGGACGGGTTGATGCTGCTGTATGACGACCTGCAGGCGGTGTTGGAGATGACGGGCACGGTGACCTCCCTCAGAGTGGTGGCCTGTGAGCCACCCGAGCTGGTGGTACCCCAGCCGGTGACGATTGCGTCGGCGCCGACAAAGTCGTTACCGGCGGTGGGCAGGCACACTGGCGCCAGCGAGTTGTCACTTGGGAAAGTGATGGGGTTGGTCAGCTTCAGCAGCGAGAAGTCGTAGCCGGAGCCGGACGCGGACGAGTAGCTCGGGTGGTTGATGATCTGCTGCACACTGGCGCGAATCTCACCATCGCTGTTGCTGATGCGATGCTCCTTGAGAAGCACCTCGATCTGGCTGGGTGACGATCCGGACGTGCAGTGGGCCGCCGTCATCACGTAGCGGTTGTTGAGGACACTGCCGCCGCACCAGGTGCGGGTGCCGCCGGCGCTGACCAGGCCCGCCTGCCAAGGATACTCACGCACCTCGGTCTCCACGCCGCCGACGATGCGGGAGGAGCGGTTCGGAACTCCGCAACAGCAGGAACCTGAAGGAGCAGCCGTAGTGGTAACCTGTGTTTCAGTCACCTCCAGTTGGCAGAGGAAGCCGCTCCTCACCACCGAGTAGTCCGAGTGCCAGTCGACGGTCATCGTAGACACCGAGGTTACGGCGCTGGGGCCTGATGTACCACAGAACTTCTGACCGTTCACGGACAGCCAGTCCCAGGAGCAAGACGAGTGCCGTTCCACGTTAAACGCGGAGCAAGACATGGAGATGGTGTCACCTGCGTTCTCCGCTGTCAGCTGGTAGTTACAGTCCTCGTTGATAGGGTAATTGTTCGGATGGTTGGTGGACTTGATGGTGTAAGTGGTGTCGCGTACCAAGGTGCTGCCACCACACGTAAGCTCTGAGCCACCGCCACCGCCACCGCCGCCGCCGCCGCCGCCGCCGACCGTCAGCGTGCACTGGAAGCCCGGTCTTACTACGCTGTAGTCGCTGTGGAAGGAGATGTCGAAGGCCTGGGCTGTGGATGCCGGTGGTCCCGAGGTACCGCAAAACTTCTCGCCGTTCACCTCCAGCCAGTCCCACGCGCACGAGCTGTGCTGCTCCAAATTAAAGCTGCTGCAGGCCAAGGTGATATCGCTATTACTGGACACCGCATAGTTGCATTCGAGGTTATTTGGGTAGTTTGATGGATGATTGGGAGACTTGATCATGTACTCGCCTTCCGTCAGGACATGAGTTCCACAGTCAAGGAGTGTTGCGCGTGGCTGAATGGGAGGAAGCGAGTCGTCGCGGTCGGAGGGAGGTGGTTTCCAGTCGCCCTTATCGGAGGGAGGCGGTTTCCAGTCGCCCTTATCGGATGGAGGTGGTTTCCAGTCGTCCTGACGCACTGGCCCCGGGGCCGACCAGGCCGAGGAGCAGAGGACCAGAATCAGTGCGAATGTCTTCATCGTGGTGGCCGTATGCTGCTGTGAGAGACCCGTCGTCTTTTATACCAGGAGACGATGATCTGCACCTCCGGCCCGCACAACGGCAGCGAACACCTGCAGCGATGTTGCCAGTCACTGATGCGGGGGAGAAAATCGTGTCTTTGTTTCCTTAGAGGCACTGTCAACAGAATATCGACCGGTTATCTTGTATGCAAGCACCTGTTGACGTAGGCCTCTTCGAGAAGGTGCGTGCTCTCTCTCTCCTGTGCCGGCGAATGACATTTCATGTGCCAGACATGCTGTCTCTCCTGTGCCAGACATACGGCCTTTCCTGGCCAGATATGCTCCTCTCCTGTGTCAGACATACGGCCTTCTTGTGCCAGATATGCTGCCTCTCCTGTGTCAGACATACGGCCTTTCCTGTGCCAGATATGCTGCCTCTCCTGTGCCAGACATACGGCCTTTCCTGTGCCAGACATGCTGTCTCTCCTGTGCCAGACATACGGCCTTTCCTGTGCCAGATATGCTGCCTGTCCTGTGTCAGACATACGGCCTTTCTTGTGCCAGATATGCTGCCTGTCCCGTACCCAATGCGTGCCGAATGTGCACCCACTTCAGTGCTGGATGTCCGTGCCCGGATTAGACGCGCGGCCTCTCCTATACCGGGCACGCGGCCTCTCCTATGTCGGACACACGGCCCCTCCTGTGCCGGGAGCACGGCCGCCCTAGTACTGGACGGCTGCTCCTGTGTCGGGCGTGAGTGCTCTTATGTTCCGGCACGCGGCCGCACCAGTGCCGAATATGCGGCCTCTCCTGTGCCCGACGGCCGCTCCTGGTGACATGCGCGGTCTCTGCTGTGTCGGACATTCCACCGCTCTAGTGCCGGACGTGCGACAGTCCCAGTGAAACAGTGACCCTCCAGTGAAACTGTGACCCTCCAGTGAGACAGTGATCCTCCAGTGAGCGGCTCACCGCCGCTTCAGTGAGGTACTGGCGCCGCACGCTCAGTTTTGATGAAGATCATTATAATGACAAAATGCGGGTGAATGAAACAATTATTTCATGCCTTGCTCTAGTTTTTTACGAGTTTATGATATGTAGCCATTAGGTCCAAGGTGCATATGGTATGGACGCTATCTAAATGCCGCTTTAAAAAGTCGCAGCTTTGGTTCATGAGCGACGCTGGAATCAGAATTGCTGCTTAACACTACACAAAGTCGTCACACGACGAAATAGTTGCACCGTCCGAAATGCGAAATGATCAAGCAGCCTCACCAAGCACGGCCTATAGCGAGGCATTGGTCCGCCATCCATGTAACCCAGAGCATGAAATAGGTTTTCCATTGTCTGATTTCTGGCGGGTAGTTCTGAATTGGAAGTACAAGTTTTCCATACGCAGATTGTATATACTAGAAATATGCCTTTTGAGCACTATGTAAAACGATGGACTTTGTTTCAGACACTGCAGTTAAAGACATGGACCATAGCTGTGATACGAAGCAAGAAATTATCCACCTTGGCAATGCAGTTTGTAACATCAAAAAGAGTGAAAAAGTGATAGCAGAGCGATGGGGAGGGATTTTTTGGACGCATTAACCCTGCAAGAGCTCTTTCTCCCGCATTGATATAGCCCCAATACGCTGCGAGATAATGCAGGGGCGGGAGGGAGTTTGCAACGTGTCAGTTATGGTTAAGATGTGGCTGCTGACCAAACCTGTTTTTGACTTTTTGCTTTCATGCGACGTTTTATATTTTAATCGAATCAACTTGCCCACCGACTTTAGTCCGTTGCGCTGGCCACTCATGCACTAAGGCGTACGCTTTAACCAGCTCAACCTTTGGCATGGCCAGTAAGTGACACTTAAGTGCAAATGATAGTTCCGAAACGAAAACATTATTTTTTCACTTTTGAAGCTATATTGCAGCGGGTTTTGATAGCCTGGTTCCAGGTGTCAATTTAGACTGTTCCCAATTTCGTCGGTGACAGAAAAAAACACCTTTTCACATTTGCCCTTGAATCAAAATCAGTTGATTGGCGTCAATTGTTCAAAAGAGTTATGATTTGAATGACGTAAAACTGAGACTTGATATTATTATTGAACAGACAAAAACGCAAATATTCTGTTATATATCTCAATCAGCAAAACAAAAGGAAGGACAGACGTTTCACCGCCACGCCTTCCTAAGCGCCATCTTTTCAAACAAAAACATTTTAAAGACCATCAAATTTCTATGACGTGAGGCGTTGTGGCTGTAAACGATGCTTCCCTACGCTACAGGAACGGCATACGAATGATAACATGGTATGCGATGAGTGCACATGACCTCGAAGACGAATATAGCACACAGGGTAGACACTAGAACGGTGGGGGATGCACAGGTTACCTAGATAAAACGGGTGTTTAGGTCTAGTTTGTGATGACCAATGACGGTTTGTTGGGCGTTTTTTAGCGCAGCGACATTTCTGCAGTTACATGACAATTTTGAGAGTAAGTATTTTTCTGTTAGATAGATTTAGTGGGATATCTTTTTGGGATATGATTACCCGGTGGAGATCCATAAACTTCGATTTTTGCTTTGCGGAGGTGCTCATTGTATCTGGTTCGCACAAGGCGTGTTGTCTCCCCGATGTAGGAGGAATCTATAACCAGGAGTACATATTTGACATGTGATCTGACAGATGGCGTTGCGCGTTGTGCACCCGCCCCAGAGTTCTATGATTGGAAGGGTGTGTAGGAAGGCGAAAGCTCCATTGTAATCTGATCAGTTGGTCGTGAAGCTGATGACTATATGAATGCAATTCAACATAATTAGATAGGCGCCTAGGGCTGCCGGTCCGTGCGTCGACATACCGCGATAAAATGTCACTTATACACCACATAACTGCGCTGGTTGTAGAGCCTGCTTGAGTGGACCGAGAACAAACGATTCGGTTGCATTCATAGAATTGGTGA